TAGATATATTCTACATGGGCAAAGTAATGTAGCAAATGTCTAAGTAAGTTTTTTATGTTGCAGGATGAATCTGGTTATAGATGGACTAGAGATGATCATTCTGCAAGCCGACAGCCTGAATACAGGTAAAAAGAAAATGTAATATTACGAATACATTTATTCTTGATTCTTGAGGTATAAGCTATGGAAGTCTAACTTCAGAGTATAAAGGAAATATTTTAATTGCATTTCATTATTTGAAAGCAGTAGCTGTTACAGATGATAAATACTTACCATATAGTTGATAATCTATATCTACTGGCATTTTATGTGGATAATAAAGGTATATAGTTTAAAATTGAATTTTATGATACTAGCTAATAATTATTACTTACTAGCTAATAATTCTTAGTGTTGTATGTATTATGAAGTACAGGTTTGCTTAATTAGACCGGGAAGCATTTTTTTTCCAGAAGTAGCGAGGGGGGGTTGGGGGGAGGGAGGGAGGAGAGTGTGATGGTACTGGGATTTTTCCCCCCTGGTCCTAGGGCTTGAACTCTGGGCCTAGACACTGTCCCTTTCGAAGCTCAAGGCTAGCAGTCTACCAGTTGAGCAACAGCACCATTTCCACTTTTTTCTGTTTATGTGGTACTGAGTTATTGAATCTAAGGCCTGCCTCATGCATGCTAGGCAAGCAATCTACCTTCCTAGCCCAAAGGAAGAGACATACATGACTTTTGTGGGGGGGATGGAGGATGGGGGTGTCAGTCATGGGTTTTGAATTCAGAGCCTGGGCGCTGTACCTGAGTTTTTCTTTTCTGGGCTAGTGTTCTCCCACTTTGAGCCACAGTGCTACTGGGACTGGGATTTGAACTTAAGCTTTGTGCTTGCTAGGCTTCTGGAGCTACCTTATCAGCCTCTTTTTGGTTTGTTACTTTGAAGATGGACTCGCTGTACCTTGACTGGCCTTTACTGTTACTCTTTTATTTATGCCACCCTGTTTTGCTAGAATTACAGATGTTATTTATTTATTTATCCCAGCCATTATGCTCTGCACCCAACCCCTGCTTGGAATAACTTGCATGCAATGCCATAACCCAATTGACTGACATACAATTTTGTGAACTTTTTTTGCGGGGGCAGGGGGCAGTGGTGGGGGTGGGCCTGGATGCCCTAGAACCATGATCCCTAGCTTAGAGTAGTGAGGATTAGAGGCTTGAGTCACTGTTCTCAGCTTCAGAAGTAGCCTTCTGAAAATAAACTTGAGTCCTTCTTGTTTTATAAGATTGAAAGCATAAATGAAAGATTATTAGACTTTGCCAGAGAGCCATGTAGACATCTAGGTACAGAGAACAAAAAGGTTTATTGGCCGGAAAGGGGGCGGGCAAGACTCCTACTCACAAGGGAGAAGTGAGAAGTACCGGCTATTGTCTGAGGTGACCTATATAACCTGAGGTTTTGGAGGGGCTAGAAGGGGCTAGGAGGTGGAGACACTGGTGTGGATGTGTGGGCCAGGGGCTTCATCATGGTGGACTAGGATTTATGGCTGCTATCCAAATAGTAGATAAGGATCCTGCAGCTGCCCAGACCTGAAGGTCGCTCTAAGGGGCTCCTGTTGTCTTATATGGTGGTAGCTGCCCCAGAGAAGTGCCATCCCAAGGTAAAAGGGGCTTGGAAGTTGATTAATACCTGTCTTTACCACATGGGCCCAGTGTTGCCTAGGAAGGGAGCATGCTAAGCTGTGGAGCAGGGGAGGAGTGGACTAAGCTATGGGAAGGGAGCGCATTTCTCATTTTGCTAACAAAGATACTCTCTTGTTTGCCTTATTTTGATCAGTTCTGTTGGGGAGACATATTTTGGAAGGGTCTTAGTCATTGTTAGCTTTGATTTCTTATATGCAGCATCTGGAAAAATAAATTTGAGCGATAAAAATTCTGAACATATATAATAACCAGGTTGATACTTTTAGTTCTTGCAATTTGTTTTGTAAATGATTCCACTGTGGTTGTATTGAAAATTGTATTAAGTATGGGTTATGGCTTGGCTATGAATAGCCCCATAATCTCACCTGTTTGACAGTTTGGTTCCCTGTTATTTTGGGTGGTGCTGGCTAGATTAGAAAGGAACCTAGTTGGAGGACATAGGTCATTAGGGGGTGTGTCTTTGGAGGGTAACTTGTTCTTGTTTCTTTCCTGTCTACTCTCCAGCCGCCATGAGGTAAGTCCTCATCCTCTTATCGATTCTCAGCCTTACGTCTGGCCCACAGCAGTGGAATCAGCTGAACAGCTGCGGTTTCTTAAACTGTGAGCTCAAATACTTTTTCTTTTTTTTCTTTGGTTGGTCGTGGGGTTTGAATTCAGGGCCTGGGCACTATCTATGAACTCTTTTGCTTAAAGCTAGCATTCTCCTACTTTTATCCACAGCTCTACTTCTAGTTTTCTGGTGGTTAATTGGAGATAAGAGTCTTAATTGGACTTTGCTGCCCAGGCTGGCTTTGAACCGCACCCTTCACATCTCAGCCTCCTGAATAGCTAGGATAACAGTTGTGAGCCACCAGTGCCTAGCTCTCAAGTAATTTTTTTTTTTTCCCATAAGTTGCTTTTCCCCCCTGTATTTGGACAAAGCCTAATGGAAAAATTAGTACTAGGAATGGAGTTGGTGGGATTTCTGATCATGTGGTTTCTGATCTCTTAGTAATGATTTAGGAGAGAAAAGATTGGAGAAGCGGAAATGGGTGTTTTTCATGGGTGATTCTGTTGGGAGCTCAGTCCACACTAAAATATGTAATGGTTGCTCATGAGATTTCAAATAGAACTCAACGTTTTATCAAGAATTGAACTAGAGGCCTACATTTTGGATGTGTCCTGTGACTGTTGAGGCTGAAGTTTCAAGTCATTCAAGCATTCTCACTGTGGAATGCTTGTTGCAGGCTGTTTCTGTTCAAGTTTACTGGGAGAACTGTGTGAAAAGAAGAGGAAGAAGGCTTACACTTTTCCCAGAAAAGAAATGAATGTAAAGTTGGGGCCTTTGAAACTGTAGTTACTGAAATGGTGGGGCCATTAAAAAGTAGTCAAGTATTTTGCTCTGAAACAGTAGGAAAGATGCCTTTAGGGCGTTTCAGGAATTGGCTAGATTCCACCCATTGCTAGTTCTTGGGTATAATGGATTTAAATTTATTTTTAATTTTTTTTTCTTCAGTTGTGGGGCTTGTACTGTGGGCCTGGGTGCTGTCCTTTATTTAGCTCTTCAGCTCAAGAACAGTGCTCTACCACTTGAGCCCCAGTGCCACTTCCAGTTTTCTGATGGTTTATTGGAGGTAAGAGTCTCACAGACTTTCCTTACCCAGCAGCTTTGAACTGAGGTTCTCGGCTCTCAGCCTCCTGAGAGCTAGGATTATAAGCGTGAGCCACTGGCCCCTGCCTATTTGTAATTGTTTGATGAGATTTTCCTCTGTGGCTAGCTTGTAGCTTAGTGCTGCTTACCAAGTTATTTCCCTTGGATTCATTTCATTGTGCTCAGCCCTTAGGTACTAAGAGGCGGTTACTGTTGAGATCATAGAAGTACTAATGACTGATTGCACTGGTGGGAGACGTTGGTGTCAGTTTTGTGGTGCTGGTTTTGCAGGCATCTCAAATGCAAGAATTAGAGGTCATGGAGGCGTCCGTCTAGGCTTTAAAGGAAAAAAATCATAGCCAGGCAAAATGTAGTAAGGTTGAAGTTTCTCCAGGTAGTCCCTGAGAGGATGAGGCCTAAATATCTTTTGAAGATCTGAGGAAGTTGGAGATGGTAGTGAAGTAAGGAGGCCAGGCCTGGCCAGATCCATATTGGCCACATGGTTGATGGTAGGTAGGGTCTGGCATCTTAGTCTTCATGCTGGGGGAAGGAACAACCCCTCCCACTACGTGCCCCTCTCCCCTCCCACCAGGCAGGGGCAGGCACTTGGCTGATAGGTTACTGAATCTGTCAGTCTAGTGCCTGGGACTGGGAATTTCCTGAGGATCTGACCCCTGTGCCGACCTTTTTAGCCCCGGACCAGCCTAGCCACTGGACTCCATGCCACGTGTGTCTCCGTGGTCATGTCCTGTGACCTGTCTCCTGGCTCGTCTCTAGTCCTCATGGAGTCCCAATTCAGCTCTCCATTGGAGCTGAATTGGCTTGTTGGTTTTGTTCTTGTTATTTCTTTCCTCTTTAGCATGTTTCCTAGCTGGGTTATGTGTGTTTGCGTGCTGCAGGCCTTTGTAAAAGGCTGCAGCCTGCAGCCTGTTCACTGTATAATAAAGACTCCAATATTCTATATTTCAAAGTGTGGCTTCTGGGACGATTTACCTTACAACAGTAGAAATGCGCAATTTCTGTTAACACCGAGCAGAAGCCAGCCCTAGTGTCAGAAATGAATAGACACACAGGATACAGAAAATTTTGTCAAGGCAAAAGGATCCTATTCCATTATTCTACCCAGAGCTAGGCAAGGACACTGTCCCTCCTCCTTGAGCCTTACAGTCTAAGTACAATCAATTACCAAAGTTAGAAAGTGGGCCATTCTTTATTTGTCTTGTAGTAGGAAGACCCCCACTCGGGCAGGCAAGCCCACCTAGTCGTCCAGGGTGACAGAGCCCACCACAACAAAGTTGTTAACAAAGAAGCAACGTTATTGAGGAGGTTCTTACACTGACTGGTCAGGGTCACAGCACAGGCTTGGGAGCTGATACTGTGACCCTGACAGCCGCCATACTTCAGTTTTTAAAGGCAAAATCCATGAGGTTGAGGCTGGTCACTTGCAGGTGACCAATGAGATTGTAACACAAAGGATTGTACCGTCATACCAGACCACACACAGGTGGCCAATGAGGTTATGGTTGTTTAAACCAGCCTATCACCTTGAGGTTACAGTTTGTCTGTAATGGTTGTTTAAACCAGCCTATCACCTTGGTTTAAAATGGCTCGCAAGCCGGGTGCCTGTGGCTCATGCCTGTGATCCTAGCTACTCAGGAGGCTGAGATCTGAGGATCACGGTTCAAAGCCAGCCCGGGTGGGAAAGTCCATGAAACTCTTATCTCCAATAAACCACCAGAAAACCAGAAGTGGCGCTGTAGCTTAAGCGGTAGAGTGCTCGCCTTGAGCTGAAGAGCTGAGGGACAGAGCCCAA